TTGAGGGAATGACAATTGATGGCCTCGAAAAGTCATTAAAGACATCGTTAAAATAGTCCAAGTGACTACAATGGCTCAATTTTATCAAACGACGAGAACACTTTTGTGCGCAAAAAACAACAAAAATAACGACTTTATTTCAACTATTCGTTTATTTCTCTCTCTGCCTCGAGTCAGGTTTCTAGTTTAATAGCGTAAGCTTCTGTTATTGTACGTCACACGCATCACACACATGACCAGCGTCGGCCAATAGTGAGCCTACGTGTGACGTAGCTCTACGCAATCACACTACGTTAACTGACTACAGGCTCATGGAGAAGGAAGTGAATAGTTGAAATAAAGGCGTTATTTTTGTTTGTTTTTGCGCACAAAAAGTATTCTCGTCGTTTGATAAACTTAAGATTGAGCCCCTGTAGTCACTTGGACTATTTTAACGATGTCTTTAATGACTTTTCGGGGACAGCAAGAGCCAGTCCCTCAAGAAGCCTACGGACTGTATGCAGGAGCGATCTTAATATCTTAAATATCTTCATTTGTGTTCCGAAGATGAACGAAGGTCTTGAAACAACATGAGGGTGAGCAAATACTGACAGAATTTTCATTTTTGGGTGAACTAACCCTTTAATAATACACAACATGTATAATACAAAAAAATCTGTTAGAAATATATTATATAGCTAAAAAGAGGGGGCCTGCAGTGTTTTAAGCACAGCTTAAGTAGCTGTTTTGGAAAAGTGTCTCTACCACTGTACACTATGTACAGATATATATAAACCCTAAGAAACGCAAGTAACATACCGAATTAAACATTATATTTTGAAGTACAAAGAATAAAATATTATCTTAGTAATAGTAAAATATTAGTATATATAGTAGAATAGTAGAATATAATAACAGTATAATAAAGTAACTATAATATAATAGTAAATCAAAGCTTGTCTGTATGCTTTCCTTCCATAGCAGTGATCTGACCCTAAGGGTTTTACATTCTCACCCGCACGCTGACCACAGCAACCCCGCTCTCATCTCAAATGGCTCTCACCCGCCAGAGAGGCAGTTCATCACCCCGTATGGCCTCCGCTAGTGTTATGTGCACAACTTCCTGTAAGAGAAGCACTTCCTCCCCCTCGTTTGTATAATAGTTCAAATATTCGTTCTCCATAAAACCTTCTTTCACAACAAGGCCATTTACAGCTGCACTTAAATCAATATCAGTCCGAGCGCAGAGCGAATGCACACAGCTCCATTTAAAGAACGTTAGCCTAACGCTCCTCGCGCTAAGTTAATGTGTTGAAGGGTTATCAAGCCCGCCCTCTCAACATGCAATCTACACGCCGTCCGTATCAGAGGCACTCATGCAGAAACCATCTACACCAATTACAGAACCTTTTCCATCTGAAGACGTGGATACATTAAAAACAATTATCGCCAAGCGCTGATGGATCGCAGTGTTGGAGCAGCTAACGTGTTTTTATATGTCTAGGCTGTAGGTGTGTGCGTGTTGGGAACCATTACGGTAATCACATTCAAAATCATCTAACATCGTCAGTCTAGTTCTAGTCTAAATCTCTCTATTGCAACTGCACGAAATAGTAAAAGACTCCGGATCTTAAACCTAAGGGTCTCGATGAGGTTAAAGGTCAGCAGTTGGGCTTGGTTTGTAAATTACAGAGCAGATTTTACAGATTTTTTCCCTGTCTGTTATTTCTGGTCTACATTTGAATGTCTAGCAAGAGGAGGCATCCCAAAAATGAGTTATTGGGAAATGAATATTAAGACTTTCTATGAAGCCTGTGTATATATTACATTGTAAATGTATTCTTAATGCATCCATGATACCCTTCGAATCAGTTCTTGTAAATAATTAAAAGCAGTTATTATACATTATAACACTTACCTATTCATGGAGCCATCTAGAGCATAATGTACGATCGACAATCACGTTTTATAATGCATTAGACCCTTTAAAGGTGTAGCCATGAATAGGTAAGTATTTTAAACTGTCGCTTCAATTATTTATGACAAAATATGACTACAATATGCATTTATAAAGAGCACAGTGACCTATTTAACCCCACAAATAAACAAGAAAATGTCTATTTTAAGACCAAAGACCAATACTGTATATTGACCTGTTTAAATTATTTTGACATGACATCACTTTCAATGCAGGCTACATACTGTAATGCATTGGGACTTTAATTGTATTTTTATTATTATTCTCATTAATGGAACACATCAAGGAATCTCATCCAGTCCGGATTGAATTTATTATATAAACTGAAATCAGCATAAAGGAAGGACAAACAAATACTACCATTAAGTATAACTATTTAAGTAATAAAACAATTATAGTGATATTTTAATAATTTATGTAATAAACTAGTAGTATGTTTTTCTTTTTCTTTTTTTATTCTCAAAATAGTAGTAATAACAACTTTTTTGCAATTTCATAATGAAAATACAGTATTTCTGGCACTACAGTCCTGCAAATATATTATTTTATTGGTTGTTTTTTTGCATTGCATTGCAGTAATGATTGACAATGGGCTTTATGCACAGCTCCACTATTTCCTGAACTTCAGCCCGCCATTATTGGACAAACTGATTAATCCAGGTGTGCCTGACCTCAGTAGTCACAACAAAAATACATCAGTTTGTCCAATAATGGTGGAAAGGAAACAAAGGAACTGGCTGAAGTTCATGAAGTTGTGCAGCTGTGCATAAAGCCAATTAAAATAATAATAATAAAAAAAAATTATTTAGTCGTTTTGCCAAAATCTCATGTTATTAAAGACAAAGTGCTATACAAAGGCTATTGAATTGGCTATGACTTGACGACAAATGCTAGACTGACAAACGTGAAGACACTCCTCAAAAACGAAACATCTTTATATAGTAAAGTGTTAAATAGTATAGTGTTTGTTGGTTAAAAAAATGAAGTACTTATTCAAACAACCAGTTCATTATTTACCATTGAATTGCAAACAAGCAGAGATATACTATACAAGCTTCAAATTGCTTCATGATGCATTCAAATATCTTTCTTCGCACAACACAGGTTTCACACAAAGTGTTGTGAGGGTGCTTCCGGCTCTCTCTCATCTAGTGTACCATGAATACCTGTGGGTTGTTGGTGCAGCGAGAACAACTTAGCAAGAGCCATCCATCTGTTTCCATTCTAAAAGCTCTCTTACATTTTTCTCCGCATGAACATGTGAATAACATGTTACATTATTTAAATGCTTGCAATGATTCTTTCACATGGATTTCCTTTTAATCTGTGACATTAAATGGTAGAATAAATGCTTTCATGCCTGGATTTGATCAGCTGATGCTGTGCTCTAATCAGAGGCGGTGTGGGCCAGCCGAGTGTGAATGGGGTTACGGTGATGAAGGAAATGCCCTTAAATGAGAGGAAGACAGGAAGCACTCCAATCAGCCCTTAGTGAGGAGAACATGAAAGCACAAAGAAAGAGGCGAGAGGAAAACAAAGGAAGGAGCGAGACGGAAGGAGAAAAAGAGGAGAGAGAGAATTCTCCAGCCTTCGGTCTGAGTGAAAATGGGGGGACGGTGGGGGTGACGGAGGGTTTGGACGCTTTCTTTTCCATCAAAAAAGATCAGAGAAGCCCTTCCTCAATTTTCTCTGATAAGTGGTGAATTACCAGAGGCGCCGCCGCGTGTGTGTGTGTGTGTGTGTGTGGAAAAGTGGGAAGGGGGCCGACACAGTGTCGAATATCACGTGCAGACAATCAGGAGACGTTCCGGGTCTCTCTTTTTCACACATGCTCACACACATACACAGTCTAACGAATTCACCATGTGAGTCTGTGCAGAATAAAAAAAAACAGCACATTGAATAATACACATTCTGAACAGTTTGTGTTTTTAAATAGCATCTTTAAATACAGCGAATTAAAATTGAAGTCGAACTCCGCTATTGTATACACTTATCAATCAAAGTTTGGACACCTTTTATCTGAAAAAAACATATTACCATTCTGGTAAAGTCGGGATGAAATCAAAATTGACCCCATTTACTTTGTTAGCGCACATTTCTATTCTTGTGGTGAAAAAAAAAAGCATCGGTGCAAATTAATTCACACACACACACAAAAAAAAATTATATTTGTTATCTAATCAAAATCTGAAAATGTTCTTCCCCTTGAATGGCCATCCTTCCCTAATGACGTCAGTTTGACGGCTTGGTTAGACAGTGATCTGAATGGAACGATCCATATCCAGATTCTCATTCAATATTCCGTTTCACTCGTCACAATACTGAGGTAAAGTCTGTCGCAACGTCCGGACTTTAAATGCTTGGAAATAGTTAGAAGATAAATAAATTGTGCCTACATATACATTTCTTTACAAAAAAAAAAAATATTAAAATACATTTCTTAAGACTTTTATTCTGATAATGAGAATTTGCTTAATTCAATAAAAATGTCTCAAAATAATCATAATTATAAAAAAATAATAATAACAAAAGGTTGTAAAAATAGGCTACACGTTCGGTTAAAATTCATGTTAGACAAAATACACACTAATGCTAATTTTAAGATATTTGGAAGAATGTTTTAATCAAACAGATCTCATTCCCCATTGACTTCCATAGTAGGAAATACATACTATGGTAGTCAATGGGGAATGAGATCTGTTTGATTAAAACATTCTTCCAAATATCTTCCTTTGTGTTCAGCAGAACAAATAAACACATAGAGGTTTGGAACAACATGAGGGTGAGTAAATACTGACAGAATTTTCATTTTTGGGTGAACTAACTCTTTAAGAATCTAAATTCTGTGTTATATCAACCAAGTGTTTGGAAAACGTGTCTCTTCATTTTCATTCTCTGTGTGTTTTCCTTTTCTATTTGGCCTCTTTGGGGACTAATGTGTGTGACCAAACCACACAGCTTGTCCGTTGGGCTCCCCAGAACATTCTAGCCAAATAAAACACGTGGACAGTCACAAACAGCACGCTCCCTGAAGTCTTACCTCTTTCTCTGTGAGCGTGTAGATGTATTGATGGTCAGGGCTGAACAGCATGTCCCTCAAAATTGGTTTCCCTTCGCTGACCACTACGTTCTCATACAGCAGTGCAGGCTGGGTAATGGAGTTCACCAAGATCTGAAAGAAACAAAGAAGATATACGTTGAATATCAAAGATCAAATATACTTTGGCTTTGTGCAGTGTTCTGATATGCAGTTCACTTTGTGCAGCATCCAGGCTTTTAGAAGGTAGAAGAAAATGGATTTATAATGAAAATTGAATGAAAGTTGTTGGTTTGGTGTCCCTCTAAGCTGCATAATATATCCATTAACTCCTCTGCCTTCACATCAATGCCGTAAAAGGGAGTAACAGTGGCCTTGGCCGATGATAAACAAATGCATCTTGGTCAATAGCAATAAACGCAGCATCTCTTTCTGTTTGGCCCACCATAGCATCAGCCAGAACTATACCTTCCTTTAAGTCACCATCCCTGGCCTTATTGATGCAGGGTCAGGGGAGCGTGACCTCAGCATCCCGTGGTGTTTCAGGGCCTAATGATGTGCTCGGCTCCGGTGCCGTGTCCCGCTGATTAATGACCGTCCCCTTCCCCGAGCGCCATGGGAGCGCATTACCTGGGCCCTCCGACACCACCCCATTGCTAATGAAGAGAGCGCCTGCAGCACCGGAGTACACTAGAGCACCGTCCGACCCACTTACAAAAACACAAAAGCTGGTAAAGCAGTTCGCGTTTCCTCAGAAATGACCACAGCACACAGCGAGTGTTCAGCCGCCCACACCTGGGAGTCAGTGTGGCCTATCTGGGTCAAACCCTGCAGCTGCTTCAAGAGAACTAAAATTACATCTACAAACATCTGAAAATAGAGTGAACTTAATCAGCAGTTCTGTTCTTTAACTAAAACCTAAAGCTGTGGCCTCATGTAAACCGCCACATTTATAGAACAACATTTTATATGGGCAAAACAAATCAATTTATATAGTGTTGCGGTGGGGGTAATGCATTAAGCCCCGTTCACACCGCCAGCGACACGCAGTGACAAAACGACATGATCCCATTCATTTCAATGGAGCACTGGCGACTTCCGGCGACACGAGCGACAGTGACCGTTGGCAACAGAATGTGGGCGTGTCAAGCGACAAAAGTTGAGAAATTTCAACTTTATGCAAATGAGAAGCAATTTTCGCGAGCGACAACCAATAGGAAAGAAGACTTTCAGTGGAGTTCAAGCGAATCTTGAACGAATGAACGAAAATGAACGAATCTTTTTCCTATTCATTCAGTCATTTGGTTCATTCAACGAACGAAACGAACGAATTGACTCAGAAAAATGATGAACAAGTTGGAACAGGAGAGTCACGAACGCGCAACACGTGACAGAGCAAGGTGAGCATTTGAGCTTAAAAAACGTAAACTTTGCGACTTTGCGTAAAAAGCGATCGTTTCGCTTGAAAAGACCCTTATTCATCGTCTGGAATCGTTTAAAGCCCTTTGAACAGTTTGCAGTTTGTACTGAAAGTGTTGTTTAAACCGTTTGGTTACCAGTAAAGTGCTTTATATGGAGAAAAATCCTGGAACGTTTTCATTAAAAACCTTAATTTCTTTTCGACTGAAGAAAGAATGACATGGACATCTTGGATGACATGGTGGTGAGTAAATTATCAGCAAAAGTTTTTTTCAAAAGTGAACTACTCCTTTAATAAACCAAAACACAAATAGTAAAGAATGTTTAAGTAGTGAATAACAAATTACAACTGATATGATTTAAAATCCGTAGATAAATTAGATTTAAAATATTAAATTTTTGGTATGTACAAATGAAATATAAAAAATAAAAGGAGAAAAAAAAAAAATCAAACGAACAAACAAAAAAAATGCATCGGACTTACAGTAACTTCAGGCCTGGAAATATTTACACACATTTTAATTCAAGATTTTCCATGATTGTGGGAACCCAGTATATTGTTGCTCAGTGAGTGATGGAGGCTCAAATAACAGCAAAGCAGTCTGGGATATGGAGTCTGTTGCCCATATTCCCCCCTCCATCACTTCATTAAGCATTACTCCCGTGGGACGCGGTTCATTATGAAGTAGTAGCAGATAACAGCTCAAGGACAGCTCATCCTCTCTCTCAGCCAATCCTTCTGGAACTCTTGCCAAGCAACGCTGAAGTTCCAGCAGTGGGACCGATCCAGAAGAGAGAGAGTAAGGATCTTCCCCTGTGTCCGAGCAGGAGAACGCACAACACGGAGAATGCTTTGAACAGGAATAGGAATCTATGCGAGATTTTTGGACATGCCTAAAACTTGCAGGACAATGCAACTAACAAACTCTCCTGCAAGTTTCCCTGCCATATGAAACTGATTAAATGGGATAAACATATATAATTGTTCTTCAAGGGTGAGCAAGAATTGCCATCTGCATTCCCCGCCCTTTTTTAGAGTCGTGCAGATTGACGTAATCGTGCAATGACTCTTCAAATTGCAGATTCTTGGCAGATGGCCCATCTTCTCCTTAACAGGAAAAAGCATGAAGAGCTAGAGAACTCTGTCTCACACTGCCTTAATAAAGGTGTCAGGAGACATGAAGTTGGAAGGTGAAAAAACAAAAACAAATCCAGATCTCCCCACTGACTTCTGAATCCCAATGCACCTTATAGTCTGGAGTATTATTGCTACTAGATATTATTTTCAGTCACTTCCTGGGTAAGAGAACAAGACTTAACCTTTTGGCATATAAAGTGACATTTCCAGACAGAAGGTTATAATGACTTGCAAAGATATATTTACTTGAACAGCTTAAATGATCACAGAAGCGCTATGATAACAGTTTACAATACAAATACTATTTTTATTAAAAAATATATCAAATTAAATGATACATTTTAAAATATATATATAATTTAATACTTATAACTTCATCATATTATTTAATTTATTGATGTATATTTAATAAAAAACTAAAAAAAAACTAAAATGTATGGTTGCTAATTAATTGATACAGTGCGTTGGCTCAATTTACTGCAAGTTATTTCAACAAATACATATAAGTTGAGTTAACTTAACTCCTAATGTTGGCTAAACTTAACTGAATCAATGCAACAAGATGACTTAACCAAGTCAAGTTGTGTCAACAAATCATTTTTTACAGCGATTTAAAATATAGAATTAAAATGTTGTATTTCATTAGTACATATCAAACAATCAGATGGGTCAGTGACGTGCCGCACTGATTTGCACTTCCAGGAGCAATACATATTATATAATAATATAAAATATGTTTAAAATTATATACATGTTTTAATCTTACATCATCTGTCCTCCTCACTGTTCTTAATTGTGTGAAATTTCAAAAATAGCTAATTTTTAGACTATTAATGTGGTCAAATGTCATACGGACAAACGGAATTCACTTAAAGTTATTTAAGACAATTGTATTTAAAATTATTAAAAATGTTTAAAAATGATACAATTTTTCATTTGGCATATTTTTTCAAGTCTTAAGATAAGCATATTAAAGTATCAGTAAGATAGTCCTTTTAGAAATGTAATTTGTATCTAAAACAAATTGTTCCGCAAAAACACATTTTCCCTATGTCATACGGTAAAACAAAGTTTAGAAGCCATTTTGGAACTGGATATTAATGACTTAAGTCATGTGAAATATGATGACATTACTCAGAGGACCCCTGAAGACCAGCCAAGTTGAAGGCAAGTTTAAGATTTTGCTCCTACATTTGGGGTAATTTCACCTTTTCCAAGTGAGTTACATGTGTCACAGATTTGGGTGTCATATGGTCAAACGTCAAAAAAGGGTTTAAAACATTTAAAATTTGAAAAAATATTTATTTACAGGTGAAATATAAAGTTTAAAAGTCAAGGTAAAGGGTAAAGATGGAAGGAGGTGGCCAAGCAACTGCCTGTTATAAATGACACAGCACAAAATTGTCATAAGGGCAAACAAAAAATGTCATACAGACAAACGGTTTTACCGTATGACATGTTGTTATACCATATGACACAGAGCATTTAACTGTTATTTCTTAACAGTTATATAACATATATAGTTTGTATGACTACTATGAATTAATATTAACATATATAATTTATTTCTGCCTATTTTAAGCATTTTTTCACATTATTACAGATGCCTCTTTCTAGTAAGGAGAGGGGTGCACATTTCTGTGCAAAGCTAAGGGCAGATCCTGCAGCTAGAGAGTAGAACCTAGCCAAGAGGAGGGAAAGGTATAACTGTGAGAGTATATGATGCCAGTAATGTTAGGATGTGCCAGTTTAGTCAGTATAGGCAGTATCTTATCTATAGGCCTGAGTTGAAGTCAGCATCACAATGTTTCTGGAAAGTGGCTTTATATACAGTGGGGCCAAAAAGTATTTAGTCAGCCACTGATTGTGCAAGTTCTCCAACTTAGAATGTTGAGAGAGGTCTGTAATTTTCATCATAGGAACACTTCAAATATGAGAGACAAAGTAAACACTGTAAACACCAGCTACAGTGTGTGCAAACCTGGTGAAGACTTACAGGAAACGTTTGACCTCTGTCATTGCCAACAAAGGTTATGTTACAAAGTATTGAGTTGAACTTTTGTTATTGACCAAATACTTATTTTCCACCATAATTTACAAATAAATTCTTTAAAAATCCTAATGTGATTTCCTGGATTTTTTTTCTCATTTTGTCTCTCATATTTGAAGTGTACCTATAATGAAAATAACAGACCTCTCTCATTATTCTAAGTTGGAGAACTTGCACAATCAGTGGCTTACTAAATACTTTTTGGCCCCACTGTAGATATGTTATTCACGTGTGTGTGTGTGTGTGTGTGTGTGTGTGTATCTCACTGTTGTAAATCTAACTGATATTGTCATGTTTTACATATAGCACGTCCCATGTGTTCCTTGTACTGAAAGAGAGTTGAGTTGATTAAAAGAAATGTTCATGTGTTGGGAAATATATTCTACTGTTAAAAAAAGGTTCACTTGAGATGCCTGTTTCTTTGAAATCATTTTGAATTGGCCTACATCAATTTATTACATTAAAAATGCAATGAAACATTGAAATTGTACTATGTCATACGGTAAAACAAAATATGTCATATGGTAA